CAACTTCAATAGAAATTCTCTTAAAAGAATTTCGAAAATATTGTTTACAATTCCTTATATGCAAAGTTGAATCTCATATGTAAATTGTCAAAATCTTTGTAACAGTACAATGAAGATAATAATCACTTGTGCCTTAAAGACATTGTAGAAATATCTTTTACAAGCAATTAAGCACTGTGCTTTCTCGTTTTCATCTTCAAGTTTTGTATCTATTTTAGAGTTATTCAACACTAAATCGTAGGATCGAAAACAGAGGCAATCTTCTTGTTAAAAGTAAAAAAGGAAAAGAAAATAAAAACGCAAAGAACGAAAAGAGAAAAAGAATCAAAGACAATCAAACGGTTCCTTTCATAGAATATTACTTCAAAGTTCCCATGTCATTGCACCCAAGAACTTAATTTATTCAGTTCTTTTATATGTGATTTACATATATGTATTTAGCACTTGAATTCGATCGATATCATGTATCTGTCAGGATATCCAAAATTACTATGATTCTACAAGATCAACGTCTACTACGATCTCTCTTACAATCATGTCGAGATATATATACAATATCAGATTTCATTCTTACATTAAAGAAAACAGATAAAAGAAACAGATAAAATAAATAATAATTACTATTTATTGTGACATTTTTTGATAATATTAGAAAGTAGCACTTTTGTGATTTCTTAACTGGTTTTGAACATTCATTTACAAATTTTACATTATATTTCATTTTAGTTCTTGAAGTCTTTGAAAAATATTCCTGGTCCCTTACATTTTTTAAAAATTTTTTTGAACCATTATATTTTTACTTTATTTCATTTTAGTTTTTTTTTAAAGATATTTTTAATCCCTCATGTTTTCAGATTTTAGAATTAACACACACACACACACACACACATATATTATTCTTATTGTTTAAAATCGATCTCTTCAATCTGTCATTTTTTATGAAAATGCTCATCAAATAATTTTGTTCATTTTTTATGTAATTTTATTTGTTAATAAATATGATCTATTTTCTCCATGTATGAATTTTTTAATGAGTTTTAAAATAAATAATCAATTAAATAATGAATTGACATGTTTTATATGCTTATTCTTGATATAATGAAATTTATTGGAATAAATTTTTTAGTTGCTTTTATTGTACTCTATTAACTTTAATATATTCTTTACAACTTAAATTTATTAAAAAAAAATATATTTTTTATTTATACTTGTACACTCGAATCACCGAGTATGGTCATATTGCATAAAGAATTAATTATCCATTTATACACATAATAACAACCATTTGTTATTAATTTTTTTAATATTCTAAAATTATTTTTTTCAAAAAAAAAAAAAAACTAATGTTTTAGTAAAACCACCTAATAATTCAATTGCATATCTTTATTCCAATATTATTGATTATTTTGTGAATAGATATATATAAATCAAATTTACATATGTTCAAAAAAGTTAAAAAAAAAATTTTAGTTAATTTTTATACAAGTTTTTATGTTTATTGTTATTTTATTTTTTTTTGATGGAATCTTATGAAAAATATATTAAGATGTTTTTTATAATTTTATATTTACATCATTATATATTTTTATTTAAGAATGAATGTATAACGAAGAACAAATTGTATTTTTTCTAACAACAAAATTTATGAAAAATATAAAGTAAAATAAATAAAATACAAAACTTTAATTAAATGTTATGATATTAGATGAAATTTTATTTTTTAGTTTAAATTTAATATTTTTTAGTTGATCGATATTATAGTACAGATTATTAAATTAAAATAAACATGGTTAGTTCTGAAACCAACTAGTATCTTTCTATATCATTATGAAATTATTAGGATTATTTTACTGTAACATGTAATAATATTTATAGTAATCACATTTTAACATTACATTTAAGAACTATACTCAATATCTCATTAAAAAAACTTATCACAAAACTTTCAAAATATATCATATAACCATTTTAATATACTAATGAAATATGGTAGAACATTCATATTGTTTTTTGGAAGAAAAAAAATTCATAAGAAATTATTTGATTCAGCCTCGATTTTATATGGATGAAACTTGTATATTTCTCTATTTATCTCAGAAATGGAAATTGGCACCACATACAAGGTGACCAAAAACAGACACAATTCATATAAATTTGTGAAATCACATCTTTTTCTAAAGTATAAATGTGGAGAAACTACAATATTAATCATACAGTTCAGTTTTGTAACATCTAATTAAGATTTACTCCGTATAAATATTACAGTGTAATTCAGTTTATAAGCAGTAATGTAATTTAATCGTATTCAATTTCCAGATTCCAAACAAATTGCTAGGAATATTGTAAATGTAAATATCATATAACAATTCAAAAAATGCTTCTGAGCGTCTTCATTGTTATTGTGCAATTCCTGCATGATGCTTTTTAGTTAATTTTTTTCCTTCGAAAAACTACTGCTCTGCTAATTAATTAATTGACAGACGATTGGTGGGAATCATTGAAAGTCAAAGCAGAGAGACAAGACAAGGAGGCAAGACAGAAATACTATCACTGAACTGAAGTTACAATGCGAAAATAGCAGACACCCTTTGGTAATTAATGTGCATCGGAAATAGACGTTACCCGTCGTGGTGGTAGTGTTTGATGACATCATCAATCACCATTCACTTTTTTATAATTTTATCTCAACTGTCAACTTTCATATAGGTAAACCTGTAAGTCTCTTCTTAGTCTCATGGGGCGTTGCCATAGATTTGAGCAGAAGATGCGTAACTTTATGGTTAATTGAATAGAAAATTAGTTACAAAAAACTGCATCATTGCAAAACTTATTTCAGGGCACTTAATTATCCTAAGAGTGACGAAACATTAATTTTCCACATGATTTCCACACTAATCATCCTAAGAGTGATACATGATGTATATACAAGTTGATGAGAATTTTTTTTTTTTTTGATTTGCAATATTTCCTTATCGACTTGAAGCTATGAAAGTGTTACTCCATACCGAAAGGGTTATTGATGCATAGATGGAGAATGAGACAGAAACAAACAACAAAGCGGTAGTGGGAGTTCAGTGGGTCAATGGAGTGGTAGTTTTGGAGGAGTACTGGAAGTGGGGTCCGAGACGGGATGTCGTTTGTTCCGGGTGAGAGGCGCGCGAAAACAGCGCGGGAGCTGTTTCCCGATGCAATAGACATCATAGCTCCACACTGCCAGTCCTCACACGATTCTCCATACTTTGTTTACCAAATAGTTTCTCTTTTTTTTCAAAAAATCATTTTTAAAGGTAGGTCCCAGTAAAAGACGACCCCATCACATCAAATGTTAAATCCTAATTTGATGTAGACAATGACGCTCTCTCTCTCTCTCTCAAGTCACTGTGCACCCATGTGGTGTCTGGGGTCCATGAGAAGCAAGTATTTGAGACAGAGATGGGACTGTTTTGGGGTCCTCTCCGTGCCAATAACATACTCAATGCTACCACCAGCTAGCCAAGGAGTCGAGATTGAAGAAGAAGAAGAGATCTGTGGAGTTGTAGTTATTAGATGGTGGGAGTCTATCAGGTTGATGTGATGGCTATGTGGGGGCATTTTATTTGTTTCGGATGGTCGTGGTTTAATTGGGAAAAAAATAAATAAATAAATCATACAATATTATGCTTTATGGTCCGTGTGGGGAACTCAAAGCTCTTTTTGATGATACATATACAGAGTGAGATCTAATAAAATATTCCCAGCTTCAAAAACAAGAAATTGTAAGTGACGTTGATCTTACGGACTTTACATATGCACTTCAACCTATCCATTTTTGTAAATGATTAGATGCTCTTGGAGGTTGTTTATTTATCTCTACACACCATTACCGCTGTCTGCGGGCAGAGCACATTTTATTCTTTTAGTAATAAGAAAACGGAAGAATAATTTGTTCACGTATTATTCAGTTCACTGTATGACAGTTGCAATTACGCCAATAATTCCCTTGATTTCAAATTATCCAAATCTGCACTGACTATTAAATAAATAAATAAATAAATAGATAAAACTTGAAATTGGGAGGCAACCTATATCGTAGTATTATCTAAAGAAAGAAAATGGACTCAAAATATAGGATTTGGAACTGATTGAAAATGGGATTTTCTACCTTTTCAATTGATAAGATAGTAGAATCCCAAAACATATCCAAACCGGACCCAGTTTGGCAAGAACTTCTATATCACACCTAACTTTACTCTTATATTCAACACAACTGGACTCCTGGACTGCCGGTCTATTTTAATCGCTGTTCTTATTTACCCCTACAACATTTGTGCCATGACTTCAAAATAACAGAGACCCCCACCTTCCTCCTTCTCGAATGCCATGGAACAACAACCTAAGGAAAATCAGCCAGACCACCCTTTTGGTTGGGCGTTGACTGTAGCCTAACCAATGTTGGGCTGTTTCGGTTCATGAACTACATGCTACCTACACCTATGAAATTCTAAAGGTCATGGGCTACTATGGATCAAGGGCCCAAGTGTTAGCATATCAGTTTTAGACTTCTAGTTAGGCCCACTTGGATCACATGTGATCACTAATCACAGAGTGGTTGGTACTACTTACTAGTTTGTATCGTGCTTGCATCTACTGTGCAGTAGTATCCACTCTTCTGAGAAAAGGAATACGAGAATAATAGGATCTCAATGATAAAGTGTGCAAAGTTAGCTATTAATGCCACATTCCTTAATCAATTTGAGCAAATAATTATATTATTCATGAAATAGTTATATCAAATTAGTTTTCCGAATAATATCCACTACGGATATGGTGGAAGCCAATTCTACAAAAAGTTATACCATTATTTGAGCAAAATGGGGTTTTCGTTTCATCTCTCGGCCCATGAAGACCCAGCAACAGCAAACAGGGAAAGTAAGCATGCTGCCTTGGCTTCAGGCTTTAACCTTACAGAGCGCCACAGGTGCTAGGCCCACTATTCTTTTGCCTGTCCATACGCACCTTTGTCATGCACGTAAAGGTCTGGGGTCATGTGCCTGAAAAATGATGGACTTGCCATCAACTAGATTGGGCTTCGACGTAGGGGCCTCTACTAGGCCCACTATTCTTTTTAGATTCCGCACTCCTCCGCGTATATTTTTACGTATTCGTGTCTGCATTCGTGGCTGATTGCACCTTTAAGACTAAACCCAAGCAATAATCAAACCGGAAAAAAGGATACAGAAGACCAAAAGGTAATTCAAATGTGCGCTCAAATAATACAACAAAAAGTAGTAACACACCCAAATATGACATTTTTATTTCTTATCGCGAATGTTACAGTGAAGATGACAAATATTTCTTTACAGTATTTGTATTTTTATACTGCGAAAACAATCATGGCAAGCTCCCAAGTTCAGCACGCAAATATCGTTGTTCCTTTTTCTTTTACAGAAGTTTGTTTTACAAGTATAAACACATGAATGATACCAGCAGTAGCTTTTTATTGGGTGAAGAAACAATCACTCAAGAATTCAGAGGTCTATGGATACCACCAGTGGAGAATCACCCTTATCGACAACAAATGTTTTTGTGATCTTCTTGGAAACAGTTTCAATTTCCAAAACGTAGGCTCCATGAAAGCCTCTAAATGCGAATTGTCCTTGCTCATCAACATGCCCATGAGTATGAGACAGCCACTCTTTTTTAAGAGCAAGGTATCTTTTACCAGCTTCATTGAGCTCACCTTCTGCATTAACCAAATGTGCATTGTCTCGGCTCATGAACAACTCCCAAAATCCCCAAAGCATAATGCCATCCACCGCAGGATGAGCATATGCTTCTCGAAGCATAACTTCCAAATCTTCACCTCTAACATATTCATTAACAGAGGACACATCAAGCTCTGTAAACCATATTGGAAGACCAAGAATACCCAGTTTATCCAGAGCGGAACAAACAACAGGCCCAACTGGACTATCTATATGTCCTTGAATTCCAATGCCTCCAACTGGTGCACCTTGTTCTTGCAAATCAAGAATATGTTCAATGTACTTTTCTGGACTTGATCTTGCGTCACATCCATCCTCAATATGATAATCATTCACAAACAGCATAGCAGATGGATCTAGTTGATTTGCAGTCTTGAACATGTTTACGCGGACATCTTTACCTAAACGATCTTGATAGAATGATCCATGGAGCATCTCATTGTTCACATCATAATGCCTGAACTTTCCCTTGTAGCGTGTTAGAAGGCCTGTTAGACGATTTTGAACAGCCGTCATCATGTCGGTTTTGTTCAGTGCTTTGATCCATTGCTGGACTGTACCATCCACTTCCCAGAAGATACAATGACCCCGGGTTTCTATTTTGTTCTTCTTGCACATGTCCAACATCTCATCAGCGTCGCTATAGTTGAACTTTCCCTGTTGTGGCTCTGTCCAATACCACTTCAACTCATTTCCAAACACAGCCCAATTGAAATTTTTCACAAAGAAATTAACAAAATCTTCATTGTCCAAGTTCGTCCTGCTTATGCATGATCCAAAAGGGAAGCTGTTTTGCATTTGACTTACTTTGACAAAAGTTCCAAGTACACTGCTTGAACCCCCTCCAGAAAATTTTAGGGTGACATCACGCTTACGGATCTGAGTAGCAGCAAAATGAGCAATACTCCAAATCAGAAACAAAAAAGAGGATGGTGAATGAAAGAATCTGTACATTCATGAAACTGAAGGGAGGAAATGTACTTAGTTTGAATTGATTATTGAATTTATGTACATTAAGGTATCAATTGCATCAACAGTATCCAATGAGGCAAGGATAATAACGCCTGTTATGATGTTACTATGTGAGTAATGTTAAGTATTGAAACATGTGAGGGGAAAAAAAAGAGACAACTGTTTGTTCTGTCGGGCAAATTTCTGGATATTTTACCAAAATGCAGTTTAATCACAAAAGAAAACGCTCAGCAAGAGCAATTATTTGAATATTTACATGGGTTGTGATATCGCAGCCTATTCAATTGCAAGAAAATCTGTAATGCTTATGACTGATCGTTTTATGGCTCAAAGCCAGGAGGGACTTTAAAGTGAGTAGCTTTCCCAATGTTGCCTATTAAGGTTGCACTACGACTGAAATATTATCAACAAAGTTTGACTGTGGGCAACCTATTGACCTCTTTAGTTTTATTTGTTTCATTTTAACTTTTGATCAAACACTACAAAAATCATAAACTTGCAAAAATTACCATTTCAGTCTGCCTCCTCAAGTGTCTGAACCTTGCCTCTCGGTCCACAGGGAAAATCTGAAGTCCAGCAACCATTAAGTCTACCCCTGCAGCTGGACCTTGGACATAAACCATGACCTTTGATGGTTGCTTCTCAATTCTAAAAGACCCACCAATTTCATGCCATCTGTCATCATTAATCTCAACTTGTCCTCCATTGACCCACTGATTGTCCACGCCAAGTGCGACGTTCACATTTTGAGGGCCCTTTGCTCCAGAACCAATCTTAACCCAAGCGGATACCTGGTATGTCAAAAGGAGTTGTATTTTATCAGTGATCATCTGTGCAGGTCCCATCCAAGTCTGAGTGCGTTTGGTTACAAGGATGCAGCGACCACTTAAAGGTTCATGAGGTCCAAGGGAATCTCTCGCAATTGGAGGAAGTATATGTGGTGACCCAGTTGCAATACTAAGAGTGCAATTACCAAGAGGAAACCAACTGTTGGTTCCATCACTCAGATCGCTATTTTGAATTATATTAACTCCAAAGGCAGGATTCTGCAAAATGAAAACTCACTACTTTAAACCCCACACGTAAAAACTATAGGAAGAAATTTTCTGTCCATGGCTAATGCTTTAAACCCTTGTAATTCAACTTCAAAAATCCATTTAGCAAAATATCGATTCAAAAACAGAGGAAGAAAGTTCAAAATTTTCCTTAATCAACCAACCTCAATAACTGGAGGAGGAGAGGGAGGGATTTTCTCTGCATGCTTTACAACAAAACTATTGACAAGAATATCAGTGCCTGCAGGTGGACCTTCTATGTAAATGACAACTCTTTTAGGGGAACCATTTAGAAGGAACTTTCCCCGTAACTGCACCCAGTCCTTATCTGTTGCCTGCAGACTACAAATCAACACAAAAAATGCAAAGAAGATGATCATTATCAACAATTAAATATGCAAAAAATCTTGAATGAAGAAACAATATAAAATGTCACTACTGAATGAAATATAAAACCACGTGTGTATGTGGAAGATCAAAACTAAAATAATGCTATAGGCAGAGATTCCATAGTCAACGTAGAAAAGGATAAATATCGTCTACTGGAGATCAAAAGCAGAGAAAAGACTAACTTCGCAATGCCTATATATTGCTCTCGGAGATTTGGTGTTTGGACCCATAGAGTGGCCCGTACATCAGCACTAGTGACATTGTTACCAAATATCCGAACAACAGCAGTGACCTCATAAGCAAGCTTTCTCTGCACTCTTTCGGTTATTTCCTGCTGAATTCCGTTCCAGCTCTGTGTGCGCTCTGTTGCCGAAGCAAAGACCTTTCCAGAGAGGGGCACAATTTTCCCATCTGCCATCGAGTCATGTAAGACTATCTTGCAGCCTCTTCCAGACCAATTATTCAGGCCATCCTCAAACTTAGGGTTCAGAATGATGTTCTCGTCTTCATCTCCAGCAGACGGTCTTGCATCCTTCCAAAATAAAGAGAAAGACAAACATTTCATAATTTAAATGTGGGAATTTGCCCTCTAAAAAAGGAAATATTGAATGAATTGATCATAAATTACGAGATTTTACTATTTCTGACAATACTTATCATTAAGGAATTATAATAAAAATGTTAGAAGTGGTTTTCTTGGAGGGAACAGCTAGGGCTTTGCTAATAAAAAAAATGGATAGAGAATAACTTGTGTACGTCTTTAAGCTATAATGTTGTCCTACTCATTGTAACAAAAGCCATACTTGTATGCATTTAGGGGACCAAAGTCCTTTGTCTGCAGTTAGATCAAGAATAAGAGTAAGATTAAGATGAATAATTACATTGCACTCGCTTGGACTGGAACAAGTGATAATTACTGATTCCACAAGTAGGTCCACCCCAGGAGCAGGCCCTTCCAAGTAGAAAACGATGCGGTCAGGCATGGCTGCTAATGAGAATGTGCCTTCCAATTTTTCCCACCTTTCCTTCGACACAGAAGTTCTGCAATGGTAACAACTATCGTTAACATACTTTTATATTTTTATTAAAAGAAGAAACACGATAAATGGAGTTACAGAATCCATTACTTTCCAATGAACAAATAGCTTGTTGCTGAATCTCGGTATTCCAGTTTCAAGGTTGCAAGGACATCAGAAGAGTCCTGGACAGGCCCCGATATTCCAACACGTGCGGAAATGGAATAAGTGGAACATGGAGAAATCCTGCTAGTAATATCTTGCTCCAGGCCCTGCCAGCATTCCTTTCGATTCGACACAACTACATAATTACCACCGGGCTTCGTTGGAAATCCTAGGTGACCTGACTCTGCTGAAACCACAAAGCCATTGCAGCAATTTGGATGCCAGGAATGTAGCCCTTTAGAGAAATCATGGTTCACAACGATGTTGGGAGCGCTGCTACTGCTTTTATTAATCATGTTTTGGCTTACCATCTGTCAAGAAGAGCATAAGTTGATGATGAACATATGTTGGAAACTTCAAAAACTACTTAACAAGTTCAAAACACCAAAGAATATGCATATGCTACGTAACCTCAGGATAAAAGACCAAGATTCCTTTTACTTCTGAGCAGTACTAAAAATAATAATAATAATAATAATAATAATAAAAATAATTAAGAGAGTTGAGCTTCTAAATTAGCCAATACGAAGGCATGTACTCTAAATAAGGCTTCATAAAATTTTAATTGTTAAAAAAACAGCTTGAGTTTTTGCTCTTTTCCATTTTTGAATTTTCAAATTCAAAATCTGAGTCTAAATAAGGCTTCATAACATTTTAATTGTTAAAAAAACAGCTTTAGTTTTTGTTCTTTTCCATTTTTGAATTTTCAAATTCAAAATCTAAGTCTATAGACAGCATTTAAGAAAATAAGAAGAATATTCGAAGGACACTGACATTTATTGGCTTTTGAACAAACAAACTAAGAACAAAATCTCAGTTCAATGAAGCAGAAACTAACACCCGACATAAATTCATAATCAATCGTGTTCCTTGTTGGAAAACAAAATCCATTTACCATTTTTTAGAAATTTATCAATACATTCACACACACTGAATTTTCCAATAAAAGAACAACGCCAAAATGACATTTTCTATAAACAGCAAAATGCCCCCTCAAGGCGACCAAACAAGATATACCCATTCAACAAGAAGGGAAGAATGTCACCATAAAAAGACCAAAACCAAGCAAATGCTATCTAATGAACTTACACTATCCCCAAAACCATGATCAAGCACGTACCTCTGATTCTGAATGTTCATTGCCGTTATTATTCTGTTGTGTCTCCATGTTTGCTCTGGATTCCTAATAACACAAATACAAGAGTGGGTTTTCATTGCAAATTAATTAAACATCATTAGTTTCTCATTTATTGAACAAACACAGCAGAAATGGGTGGGTACCTGTTGATATTCTTGCTTGAGATTTCTCTTGGCGGCTTGGCTGTTGAAGCAGCAAGTCAAAAACCTCCTCATTTTATACGCACCGTTTGGAGATTTTCAAGTGAAGTCTACGAAAAGCGCGGTACCAACTACACCAAACAGCCAATCATATTTCTTATGGCGAAAAACCTTTAGCTTTTTGCCTCAGTTGTCTTTTGCCGGGGTTTATCCATCCCGGGAAAGACGATCAATAACAATTAAATTGTTTTGAGTCTGTTTCAGATTTTCTCTTGTACTGGCATTGCTTTGGCTTGCAGATTGGGGTAACAGCACCCCTATTGCTCTGGTTTTAAGGTTTGGATATGTTATGTCCCTCTTTTTTCTTTTTTCTTTTAAACACAATTTGATGATATCTTTGATAAGTCTTGGATTACAAGGCAATTCTCCTTTGGACTTCCATTAAGTTAGGTGAAGATGGGTTTTTCAGTACTGACCCTAGTGGGAAACCTGATTTTGAAGTTAAGAGGGCTTGTTGCTATAAATCATGGAGGTCACTGTGCTGCTCAAAGATATGGAGCCAGTTCCAACATTATTTTGCTTTACATGATAAGTTTTTTGCAATTTCAGATCCTTTCCGTTCTGGCTTCGTCAGGTAGAAATTAAAGTCCAACTAATTTCAAGACACGGCTCTCCTTTTGACAGTAATCATATAAAAGGCAGAGGGAACTCTTTCGAGTTTTGAGTTCCAACTAATTATTCTGATGTAACAAGACCCACTGAAAAAAAACATGCATGTTTTATAAGATCATGTAATCTATTGTTTGCCTGGATATTGTAATGGTGAGTCATGCAACCCAGCCAAAAAGGCAGTGTAGGTTGTTGACACTTGACCGTCTGCAAATGAGAACACCTTCAATTCTCATTTGGATGAGGCTCAAATTTGAATAGCAAATACTTTGGACTAGGAAAACAGCAGCCAGTTAGTGATTCTAAGTTTCTAGGAGTGCTTATCTGTTTTCAGAAACTCTTCCTTGTGATAGTGGATAACAATCCTTAACTACAAGTCAATGGACACAACCAATGGCGACTCACCCTGGTCAACAACAAATGTCATGTTAACTTGCTTTGCAGTGGAAACAAATTCCACATTGTAAGTCCCGTGAAATCCTCTAAATCTGAACTCTCCTAGCTCATTGATACGCCCACGAGCATGAGATTGCCACTCTTTCTTAAGGGCAAGGAATCTCTTACCAGCTGCATTGATTTTACCGTCTGCATTCACTAAGTGCGCATTTTTCCTGGACATGTACAACTCCCAAAATCCCCAAAGAATCACACCTTCAACTGCAGGATGTGCAAAAGCTTCACGGAGCACTACTTCCAAATCATCTGCTCTGACATACTCATTAGAAGAAGACACATCGAGTTCTGTAAACCAGACTGGAATGCCTAGAGTGCCCAATTTATCCAGAGCAGAACAAACAACGGGCCCAACTGGAACATCAATATGACCTTGGATGCCAATTCCTCCCACCGGTGCACCTTGTTCCTGGAGGTCAAGGATTTGCTGTTTGTATTTTTCTGGTGTTGATCTGATGTCGCTTGCGTCCTCAATGTGATAATCATTCACAAAGAGGGTGGCAAATGGGTCTAGTTCATGGGCAGTTTTGAACATGTTGGCTCGGATATCTTTTCCCAGTCGATCTGGATAGAAAGACCCATGCAGCATTTCATTGTTCACATCATAGTGCCTGAACTTTCCCTTGTAGCGTGTGAGAAGACCTGTTAGACGGTTCTGAACGGCAGTCATCAAGCTACTTGCATTCAAGGAACGAACCCATGACTGGATCGCATACTCCATTTCCCAGAATATGCAGTGACCTCGGACTTCCATGTTGTAGCTCTTGCACAAGTCCAACAACTCATCAGCATCCCTGTAGTTGAATTTACCTTCTTGTGGTTCTGTCCAGGACCACTTTAGTTCATTTTCAAACACAGCCCAGTTAAAATTCTTTACCAGAAATTTAACAAACTTGTCATTGTCCATGCTTGTTCTGGTTACACATGACCCCAAAGGAAAACTATTTTTTATCTGCCTGACTTTAATAGAGTTACCAACTATATTGCTAATTCCCGATCTTGAGAATTTTAGGATGATATCACGCTTACGTATCTGCATGATCACAATGAAATTTTTTTTATCAGGGAGTTGTATATTACTATAAGAATGCATTTTAATCATGACTTCGGTTATTTCCAGACACAAAATAGTTAATTGAGAGTAAGCCACTAACTTTATATTGGCAGCTACCTTATCTGTTTGCTTCTTTAGGTGCTTAAACCTTGCTTGCCGGTTTACAGGGAAAATTTGAAGACCAGAAACCATTAAGTCAACATCAGAAGCAGGACCTTGGACATAAACCATAACATAAGATGGTTGCTTCTCAATTCTGAAGGACCCGCCAATTTCATGCCACTGATCATCATTAAACTCAATTTCACCCCCATTGATCCACTGGCCATCCACATCAAGGGCAACATTAACAAGTTCAGAACCAGTTGCTCCAGGACCAATTCGAACCCAAGCAGACACTTGATATGTCAAATAGAGTTTCAGTTTATCAGTAATCATTTGCGCAGGACCCATCCAAGAATCTAACCGATTAGTTACTATGATGTAGCGGCCACTTAGAGACTCATAAGGTCCAAGAGAATCTCTTGCCATTGGAGGGAGCACATGCGGTGAACCAGTTCCAACACTCAAGGCACAGTTACCGAGAGGAAACCAACCCATGGTGCCATCATCAAGATTGCCGTTCTCGATTATATTCACTCCAAAAGTAGCATTCTACAAAACAAAAACACAAATTTTAATCCTCAAAACATAGAATTCAACATTTAAGAATGCCTGAGTATTGCTCCACAGATGAAGAGGTTGCTTGTAGATATTTATAACAGTGTGTCATGCATGCGTGATCAAATGTGCATGAACAAAATCTGATCAACCTTGGAAAATGGTCGAGCTGAAGCAGGAATTTTGTTGGCACGCTTCACTACCAAACTGTTAACAAGAATATCAGTGCCGGGAGGTGGGCCTTCTAGATATATTACTGATCTTGAAGGGAAACCATTAAGAAGGAACTCCCCCTGCAACTGTACCCAATCTTTATCTGTTGTCTCTGACCTGCAGAACAAGTCAATCTCCTCAGACCTGAACGGAACACCTAATTTCGAATATGTTGCAAGTAAAACATCACAATAGAGACAAGCAGGATCTTGCATTTTCCTAAATGTATAATGTTCGAACTCATGCAAATATCATTAGAATACATCATAAAGTTGAACTGAATGAATTTAATATCAAAATTCGTAGCATTCTTGATATATAGCAAATGGTATCCAAAACTAAAAGCCAAGGAGTAGGAGGGCTCAAAAATTAATAAAAAGTAATGTGATACCGTCCTCTTAAGAGTAGGTGAAAGAGACTAACTTGGAGATGGCAATATACTGCTCACGAGAATCAGGTTCTTGAACCCACAATGTGATTTGTACACCAGCACTAGTGACATTGTCACCGTATATTCGAACCACTGCAGTAACCTCATATGCAACTTTTCGTTGCACTCTTCCAGTGATTTCCTGCTCAATTCCATTCCAATTTTCTGTCCTATTCGTTGCAGAAGCAAAGAACTTCCTTGATTGTGGAAAGACTTTTCCATCTTCCATGGATTCGTGTAGTTCAATCTTGCATCCTTTGCCAGACCAATTGTTAAGGCCATCCTCAAATCTAGGATTCAATATTATGTTATCATCTCCAGCAGCCACAAGGCCTGTGATTGTGGCCTTTATGCAAAAAACAAAGGAATGAAAGCAAATGTCAGAAACGAATGAAATATCAATGAAGGAAGGTGTCTATCCTCCAAATACAGAGAAGAATGCTATCACTCTTTCCTTCCATCTATTAGGCTCAATACAAAGAGAATGCAGGCTTAACTTCTGAGTGACATGTGGTTCATTGATTGATCTGGAAAACGAGATGTCACTTCTTTGGAAACTACGACATGTAGTTTATTTCACAACATGACTTGTCGCTTCTCAAAAAAAAAAAAAAAAAGAGTCAACATCAAATGAAAACGAGGACTTTAGTTTAGTTACCTGGTAGACTTGCTTTGGTACAGGAATTGATTCTGCAGAAAGACCCAAATGCAAAATCACAATGGAAAGAACAGCAAGATATGAATTGTGCGTTTCCATGAGAGAAACTGAACCCGCGGCCGTCCTGTGATTCCATTTGGCAGGGTAAAAAAGGGAAGGGAAGGCGAATAAACTTTTGATGGGATTTTATCGTTTAGTAGAAGAGGGAAAGGAAGTGATGAGAGAACGGTGAATAAAAATTGAAGAAAATGAGTCACGGGATGGGACAAGAGATTGAAAAGTGTGTTTGGGAAGCATGTTCTTCAGTAGCTGTAAAGGCTCTCCATTCTCTACTCTTAAATGCTATGCAAGTGCAACTGTGCAAGTTGTCTGCCAGAATGCTTGTCTGTACTGTAGTCGATACTGCATAGTGCCTCCTGCTTCTTCAAACCGCACTGTTTGTTAATTTATGCCATGGACTCTGGTGTTTGAGTAAAATTATCACGTGAATTTAAGATTTTTTTAAAGATTTAGAATACTAATTGTTTGAAAATTGAATCAATTTGTTGATAAAATCATAAATAAGGATTTTAAATAATATAAGTAAAAGAAAAGAAAGAAACAAGAATTAAAATATTGCATTTTAAAAATAAATAAATAAAGCTGTTGTGTGGTTTAAAAAATTCAATCATTGATAAAAAGATTTTTTAAAAAATAACATGAGCACAAAAAAAAAAAAAAAAGAGAAACAAAAAATGATCCATTATCTAAGAAAATAGAAATACCATATAATTTAATTAAGATCCATACATGTCGTTGTGATGTTTTTTTTGTTATTTCTAGGCTATTTTTATTTTTATTTTTATACATAATAAGCAACTTTTTTTTATTTTGAAAAAACAAAAATTTTCATGCTTTTAGAATGAAAGCCAATATGTTTTTTAATGGAATTATATTTCACTTCTAAAAATCAAAAGTAAAAGAGGTAAAAACTAGAAGCATATAATATACTTTTAGGTTATCATACAAAAATATAAAAAGATGCATTTTTTTAGAATAAAAACTTGAAAGTTAAACTAGATAATATTAGGGAAAAAAATGATAAAACTTATTTGTCATTTATTTAATTAAAAGTGAATTTATTCGTACCTTTTTCTTATTCGTTTTCTATCAGCCTAAATCTTTTGGCTTTACTAATCAAAACTCCCATACGAGTTATGAAATTCTCGACTTCTTGTCACTCATTTTCCCTTTCTTTTAAAAACTACAATTAATATTTATTTTCCCTGTAAAGGAGAAAGGGCAAGGAGAGAGAGAGACTGGAGGTTAGGTACTGGTCTAATACAAAATACTTGGTTACTGCAACTTAGACTCCCTTTTCTCAGCCCAAATCCATTACAATATCAGTCGATGTCCGAAGCCCATATCGACCTTCGTTGTAGTCCAGCATGGTTACGCCTCTGGCAACAGTAGATCTGTAGCAGGTCAAACGAAGAGAATAAGGCGTGAATTTGAGAGTAAATGGGAGCTAATTTGTGCCTCTTGTTGGACAATTAGACCTGGGAAGAACATCAACATATAGAGAAAGCAAACTTCAGAAGTCTTATAATATCATTTTTGAAAAAAGGAAAGAGAAAACACAGATGCAAATGACTTAGTCCTAGATATTTTAGTAATCTGTAGAACAATCTAGGAGTTCGTACATTGGCTGAATGTTGTCCTCTTATATGGTTATACTCTCCCTCCCTATTCTTTCCCTCTAATGAAAACATTTAAGAAAGACGAAGCTAACGGCCCAAATCTATCTAAAGCCCATAAGCAGTATCTTTTTTTATTCAACATAAGCAGTATCTTTACTAAATGCGTGTGAAAGAAAATGCAGGTCAATTGTGTCGTCGCCTTCTTCTTTCTAGAAATGGTGAGAGACAAAGGGAACTGAAAAAAGTCAGAATCTTCGCCGACCTTTTAAAAGCAGCCCCAATTTCCACATTTCTCCCTCCTCTTCAGCCCTAAACCACTAATAATCACAGCAATATACTCGTAATTACAACAAAATCCAGATGCCATTTATCAATAAGACAAGCCACCGTGTCACCTTTCAGGGTAGCCGGTGGCCTGGTGACCTTAGTGTGGACCCGATCCGGATCCAACCGTAACGGTTTAACTACTCTGGCTCCGTCTCAAACTTGAACTTCACGCACCATTGACTACCATTACAAAACAATAACACCAAACTTGAACACACACAAACAGAAAATCCTCCCTCTAATTTTACATTCCTTGTTTCTCTAATCATTCATTCACCGAGTCATGGATTTTGTTGGGTTACCAGGCGAAGATGGAAGAAGATCATCATTAGAGACAGAGAGAGTTTCGAATGAGACTGTTAAGAGTAATAAAGAATTAAAGGAGATGAATAATGAGAAGAAGAGTAAAAAGAAATCTTCGTATTTGCGAAAATTTGGATGCTTGAAAATTGAAGAGGATAAAAAAGCAAATCTTGATATGAAAATGGAAGTTGTGGAGGCAACAGGAAAGCCCATAAATCCTACCCACCTCATTATTATGGTTAACGGTATCATTGGCAGGTTAGTTAGTTATCTATTTATTTATGTCTGTGAATTAATTTAAGTTATTCGTTGTGCAATTTATTTTTGGTGATTAGAGAGCTCGTAATGAAACAGTGGTTTGTAGTTTAATTAAGAATCAGTTGATCTACTTCCTGTCGCGGTATAGCATTATTGATGCAAATTGCAATGTAGTGTTTTGCATTATTTATTTATTATTTTTTGTGATTTGGTGAATGTGCAGGGCTCAAAATTGGAAATTCGCGGCTAAGCAGTTTTTGAAAAAGTATCCCAGAGACGTTGTTGTTCACTGTGAGTTTTGTTTTCTTGACCTTTTTTTTTCTTTCCCTGTTTGTCATTGATGCTAATTTGGTGGATGTCAGGTCATCTTTGTTATTGATATATATGTATTTTGGGTGAAACCAATTGGTTTTGATGCAGGCAGCAAAGTTAATTCGTCAATGTCGACATTTGATGGCGTTGATGTAATGGGAGACAGACTAACCGAAGAGGTGTGCAATTTGGATGTTCATACTTCATATGATATTTCTGTTTCATTTTTTTGGACTAAGATAATTTAGCATTCAAGGAAGAATGTGAAAGGAATTCTATCATTTCTGACAGGTGATATCAGTGATTAAAGGACACCCGTCTGTTCAGAAGATTTCGTTCGTAGGCCATTCATTAGGTGGATTGGTTGCAAGATATGCTATTGCTAGGCTATATGAACAGGATCTCACAGAGGAAATTTCTCGTGAAAACGGTTATGGTAAAAGTGATGAACCTAGAGATATAGATAAATGCGTGCATGAGAAATCCAGAGGCAAAATTGCTGGATTGGAGCCCATGAATTTTGTAACCTCTGCTACTCCACATCTTGGTTCGAGATTTCATAAGCAGGTAATTTGTTTACTCTTTACAGATGCTTTTACAGTGAAGAGTTTTGTTTAAAGATTATTATGGTAGAGGTATCTCTTTTCTTTGTTGTTATTGGAGGATAGAATCTATATATTGTCTTTGATGGCACAAAGTGTGTATTGACATATGGTGATCCAATAAATTAACAATTTGTCTCGTCTATTAATTTTCCCGACAAGAAAAAGAAGTCTACTGATTTAAAAGTTGTTTTCTGCCGTTGGTTTCTCCTCTTCTATCAAATTTCTAAATTTGCTTTTATGACTGACTAGGTCATACTGCCATGGAGATTTTTCACTTTTAGTGAAGGTAGCTAGGATGTCGGTTGAGCAGCATGAATTAAAGAACATACACGTATATGCTGCACTAGCATAGTTTTGACAACAGTTACTGTTAATTTTAGGTCCCGATGTTTTGTGGCTTTTACACTCTGGAAAATGCAGCGGCTCGAATTGCATGGTCTCTTGGTAGGACAGGAAAACATCTGTTTTTGATTGATGGTGATGATGGAAAACCTCCTCTTCTTCTTCAGATGGCTAGTGACTCTGAAAATCTAAAATTTATGTGAGTTCATCAACTTATGGTTTATCCTAAAAAATTATAAATGATTGCAAAAGCTGCCTTCATACCTTTTCTTATCTCTGCAGATCTGCTTTGGAATCCTTCAAGCGTTGTGTGGCATACGCAAATGCAAGTTTTGACCGTATCCTCCTCATTGAGTTGTTATTTATTTATTTTTTTGTTGAACTAACAAGTTTCCTTTCCAAATGGTGAAATGCAAAAATAACAAAATTTTGGACAAATCATGCTTAATTTACAATGCTCAGATGGTTTATCTGAGCACGAAATTTCTCAGGATTATACTCACTGTCAAACCAAGGAACTTGACATGTTATAGACATTGTGGGATGGAGCACATCATCTTTACGGCGACGGAATGAACTCCCAAAGGTCTGTTTTTTTTCTTCACCAGACTGTTTTGCATTATCTGGTGAAAATTTTGGCATGAATTGATTAATGATTTTCCCCTTTCAGAGACGGCATCTCTCAAGACATGAGAAATATCCGCATATTGTGAATGTGAAGACAACAGAAACTGTAAGCCCTCAGCCCGAAATTTCAAAGGTCAAAGCTTATGGTTGCAAGACTTTTGACATGGAAGGTTTGCCACTTATTGCCTTTTCAAACTGTCTGATTACGTAAATTCTCTCTGAAACTTATGAGGCCATGTTGAGTTACTTATAACTTCTGGACTATTGAAAGTTAATTTCTGGGTCAAAAGAAAAGTGCCAATGAAAATACAATTTCAATTAAAGGTAAATTCTACCATAGCAATGGAAGACAGGTGGATTTGAGGCATGGGAAGCTTTTCAAGAGCTGTTCTCATGGAGTTAAGCAGAGTGGAAACTTTTTGTGCAATTGTCTTTTTTGGTTGGACTCATGTTGTGAAAAAACTAGTATTTTCTCTGTGCTGCACTGTTTCTTATGGCCTTTGGAACATAAAGGCGCTAGAACAGGGAAGTCGAAGAAAAAGGACTGGGAATGTAGTTACTGATTCTGTGTTTATCAGGAGAAACAAACATGATTATTGATTAAATACTGTTATTGCCATGGGTTATCACACATATTACCATTTTAAAACATTTGCAGAGGAAATGATCAGAGGCTTGACAAAGGTGAGCTGGGAACGAGTTGATGTTAAATTCAGTGGAAGCATGCAAAGATTTATAGCGCACAGCACCATTCAGGTAAACTGGTCTTTTCATAGCGGTTGAGTTCTCCCTGTTCCATTAGGAATAACATTTGAACCCATTACAATTTATTGTCTAATTTGATTCTCTTTTCTACTGCACAAACCAATAGCATTCTAGAAGTCACATGTTTGACATTCATTTTCATTTGTCCTTTATGTTCAGGTGAAAGGCTCCTGTATCAATTCTGATGGGGCTGACGTTGTCCAACACATGGTTGACAATTTTCTTTTGTGAAGGCGCAATTTCTCTAAGGTTTAATTTGTCAGGGATTTTGCCAATGACACGTGTCTCTGCATCCTTGGGGAAAATTTCAACTGACCTCACTATGAGTAGCCAAAGCAAGGGGGCAAACAAATCATGCTGGAAATCCTGCGTGTTAAATAATATAATCAATAGGGAAGGAAGAGAGTTGGGGAGAGAGATTAGTGAAACTTTGACACATGAAACCATTTGCACATATTCATGTATCCTTTTATCCTGTAATGTGTAAGCTAACAACCTGCACTGTGACACTTTTCGCTGTGCAATTATGAGAAGGTGCGAAGTATGCTAATGATGATCAATATGAGCCCATAATCCACTTCCCTGTCACATTGAATCATATGGCTTTTTTACGTGTTTAAGTTACTTATGTTAATTAATGACAATAATCCATGAACATTTTGCATTGTCAAAGCAGTTTTAATCTGCCGTTCCACCTCCGCCAATTTATTTGCATGGTCCCGCTATGCAGGTTTGAAGGTACGTGGCGCAGGACACATTTTGTCAGCGCGGAAGAACCTTCCCTCGGTATAAAATCTTGCTTTTGAGGCTCCGGTAGGAACAGCGCAGCCCAGCCCGTTGTTATTGAAGCCTCAGCTAGCTGGATCAGTCAGCAAATTGGAATTTATTAAAATTTGTATTTGTGATCTCGGTTTGGCTGATGGAAACCTATATGAGCAGTTAGATACAAGGTGAAATGTTTCAAGCCTTGAGGGACAAGAAAATTTGACAGCTAGCGCCCTTAAGCCGAATGAGAGAAAGATCCAGAGTCTTGAATTTTCGAGTGGAAGTTGCCGCATGGTAGAAATTAAAAACATTTGAATTACAATTTACAAGACCACACACAATGTATTCGAAAGCGATTTGTATTTTGCACATGTCAAACTCCTATGGAATATTGAAAAAACCTGATCATTTAGTGCATACATTTTTGGTATATGTAAAATCACGACTTCCACTTGTTAAATGGTAAATGCATTTAATGACAGCATGTTGGGAGATCCAATGCGTTGGTGATATTTTTTACTTTTCCCCTTTTAAAACTTGAGGAGTTGTTGTAGTTTGATGCCACAGCTCACAAATCACAAGCTCATGGTACGACTCAAAACGGTTTTGCAGCTCTCTTCCCCAAGACTGTGCTTGATAACTTGCTGGAAAGAACCAGACCCACCAAGCTCTGGTAATTGCAGTTCCCCAAATATGGGCTTCTCAAGCAAGCTCGATAGACCATGCTCCTACACCATAGAACCATTCCCTCAAATAGTATCCATCTTGCGAAATATATTCTCATACTCTTTCCAATACAGAAAAAAGAAAGTGACCGGGCGTGTCAAGTTGCGACTGCCAACCACTGTTCAAATCCCAACCCTACTTAAGGAAGCCATACAGACGTAAAAGGAGACAAATGAAAGCAAAAAACGAAAGGAAAACGATAAGGAACCCATTATGTCATTCCATCAATACCACCTGTGATAAATCATAGACACATGTCCTTTCAGTAGATTAAGAAATCTCACATCTACCATTTGGAATGAGTGGGGGCTCTATATTTTTGTCTTTCTGCTTGTATTGATTCACCAATTCATTTCACTTCCTCAGCCTTCTCTTTTCTTGCTCTGCTCTGGCCTCTGTTGGGAGTATAATAGTACCACTGGAGTTTCTTTTGCACAGATGGGAATACCTTGGGTTCTCTGGTGGCTCGTGACACGAGGTTGAGGTCCTTCCCTTTTCGTTTTGAGGTCCTCGCCCATTTTCCTTTAAGACGGGCTGCAATAACCTCTTTTTAGCTTAGACATTCAATCTTATATAGATAAAAACAGACTCGTGTTTTTGCATTGTTGAGGTGGCAATGAAGCCCTGACCCTTTCTTCGTACGCTTTTCAGGATTCAGTTACCTTCCTGTACTGCCACTGTCATTCAATTTCATCCCTCTTTCTATTAATTCACTCTGCTCTCACACTCTTATATACCTTCCATTTCTCAAGGTTCTGCTTTCAATTGCATCCTCTCTCTATCTCTCTGCCTCTCTCTGAGGAAATGGGCAGTTCTAAAATTGGCTTCTGTTGTCACAGAAACAGACAACTAATCATTTCATTGCTATTTATCTTGGTTTCAAGCTTGACCCTTGTGAAATTCGTGGCTGAAGGTAAGTTGATACAAGTTCATTGCAAGCTAGCTCATAAGAGATCTAGTTTCTTATTTTGTAAAATTTTTAAAAAACAAATAAACACAATCTTGAATTTAACAATGGTCAGTTTCACTTCTCTGCAGGTAGGGCAATTACCAAGCTGCTGGAGGCTGCACATGTAAGAGACACTCCCGCTCTTGCTAAACTCTTTAGTTTCTAGTGTTCGATTTTACATTTTAGGTGTTAGCAATAGAAGTTAACAATTATCATTGATATCTACAGAAGGGAGTTGGAGAGGAGAAAATAGCGGTGAGAGCTCAGGCAATAGGGTCAAGGCCACCAAGATGTGACAGAAAGTGCAGCTCTTGTGAGCATTGTGAGGCAGTTCAAGTACCAGTAACAACACAAGCCCACAACCACAAGAGAAGTCAATTCTCTACTGCAATTTCCAATATTGCATACTCCAGAGGTGGTGATGTCTCCAATTACAAGCCAATGAGTTGGAAATGCAAGTGCGGCAACTTAATTTTCAATCCATGATTGAAAGAGATGGGATATGTTTTGGTGAAGAAGATCACTTTTTGTTAAATGTGGATACCTGACTTCAACTGTATACTCCATCATCTATCTCATCTAACTTTTCCTAGTTGACTCCCTCTTCACTTGGTTGAAATATGTAGTGTGTTAAAAAAACTACTACTTTTGCTTCGCTTGTAATTACTTTTCTCATCCTATAAATCTTTCTTATTTTGCAAATGTTATTCTCAAATTGTTGATCTTGCAGTGGCGTTTCCTCCGTTGTCAAGAACATATCGAGTATCCAAGAAAATTAAAGTTTGCTCATCCGTTTCTTACTCCTCCATGATCTGTCGAGAAACGTCAGACTTCTCCCTTGGTTTTTGTTGTTTAACTAATTTTTCTGAAATATAGAATGTAACCTAGGATTTAGTGCTTTTAGTTTTTCTTATTAATTTTTTTGGGATGTTAATTTTTCTGGAGGAGTGACGACATGGGATGAGTTGTTTAAATGAGATGCAGATGTGAGCGTATCAAGTATGTCAGAAAGTGCTGGTTTCGTATCTTACAAGATTTGTGCACCAAAAAGCCTGCCCACCTCGAAGGCATAAACAACATTACACTACATATAACCAAGTCGTATCCGTGTCATCCTCATATTTCCCTTTCACTAGTTGTTTTGTTAACTTATACGTTGATGATTGATTCATGTCATTCTATCATTAAGATTTTGGATGAATTTGCTGCAAACCCCTGCATGCTCTTTGCTGTCAAAAACTTGTTATTAGTAGTCTCATCATTCAAGCAACTTGTATTAAAGACCTTTCATGTTAAGCACTTCAGCTATGGAAGCTATCACCGTGAGGTCTAGTCGTAGGCATGTTACTTGAAAATGTTTCAACTCTCTGTCCTCTTTGAAAGTTTTTAATTCCATATCATACACTTCTTGATAAACAATAAAATTAACAGTTGCATCAGGCAAATACCCTTTTTACAGAAGGGTCCAAAATAGAAATTTCATTGTTTCAAGCTTTGACATTCTGGGAGACCACAGGATATAAAGTATATAAGATGGGTCTTTTGTTTTCTCTGGCATATCGTAAGCAACCGGGATGGGGTCGGTGGCGGTATTAAATGGGTCTCATTTATGATGGCTCTGAAAAGAAACAGAGCGGGTGCTAATACTCATCATCGTAATTAATGTGGTTGTTTAGCAGCTCTCCTGTTCCTTTCCTCTCGCAGTCAAAAATCAAAATGATGGGGTCGTTGATGGTAGCAGGTATGAGCAACTACGAAAAGTTGCTTTCTCCATTTGTGTTCGTTTTATGAGGTCTCCTTTGATAGGTAACAAAATAATAATGTATGTTGCTAATTTAGTGCAAAGTCAGTGTTTTTAAATTGATCGGAGAGGAAAAAAATTAATATTGCTGTGGAATGCTGCCTCAAGGTCAATATGGGCATCAGATAATCTTAACTCAAGTGTTTTTCTAATTTTCATCAGACAATGTTTGGAAAATGAAGGTTAAACAAAGATCTAATTGATAAGTCTACCGGAAAAATGGTAATATTATTAGTTTTCCAGATAAAATTGGAATTTGAACGAGTGAAAAGCTTTTAATTGAGAAAGTCAGCCATTGAAGTTTAAAATATGTTTGTATTTGACCAAAAAATAGTTGCTTCTTTGAAGGAATTCTCAGCTAATTATATGTATTAATAGGCTGGATAAATTCTACTAAGAAGTTGACTCAACTATCTTGCAAATTGGAGTTTAAGTTTCAATCAAACCAATATTAGTTGTGAACCGCCAAGGGTTATACACCCTACTTTGTCGAGATAAGTTTCAACTACAACTTTAGACCGTGTTATGTCAAGTTCTAGCACAGAGGATTTATCTACAACTGGATTGATAAAGTTGTCGGACTTATTCTTCTTACGCACAAATGAGTCTAAAGAAACAACTTAGTTGTCAATTACAATTATGAATCTCAATTGGTTCTCCGATATAACTCTCATATATATATATATATATATATGAAAATCTAATTGAAATGAGATGAAATTCATCTAAAAGCTTCATAATTTTTTATTAAAAACCCTCCCGAAAATGAAATGAAATTTATCCAACGAAATAGATAGGAAGATTGGCCTCAAAATTTTCTCATATTTGAAAATCGAATTTTCTCCGCATTTGGATCTAGTATTCTTTGATTTTTTTTTTTTATTGAGATTCTATACTCTTTTTTAACTTAATTGAGTTCATCTACTTTTTAAGATTTTTTGCTTCAAACATTCCATTATAACGTCACTAATTAGTGATCAACACGTTGTCTCTATTTTTCAAGATTTCTTACCTTACAATATTATGTATTGATTACTAATTGATAGAGTTATAACAAAGGGTTTGAAGTAAGAAATCTCGAAGAGTAAATGGTCTCAATCAAATTAAGAAAAAAGAGTGTTAATAAAAAAAATTCAAAGTGTACATGATCTAAAAGTGGAGAAACCCTTTGAGAATCTATTTACGACAAAAAAATTTCTTTGATGTTTAATGAGATCATGATCTTTAGATTAAAATTAATGGTGAGATGACTTCCAATGTAAGCTGATTGCACAATTATAATAGCTCAATCACAATGTGTGTTGATGTGATGACGAGTACTTACAAAACAAGTCTTTTTAATGTTTGAAGAATTTTTTGATGGATAAATTATTTTACAAATAAAGGCCTTTGACCTTGGTAAGTTTTAAGAAAATTAGCTTGTAAAAGTAGTAGATATTTGATAATATATTTGTTTTTGAACTTAGAAGGTAGAACATGTAATATTTGGTGTGTTAATTTTTAAATAGGTGGAGTGTGATCAATTTGCATGGAATAGATGATAGATTGATATTTTTTTCCTTATATTCAATGGCTCTTGATATCCACTTGAAGGTTTTAGGATCTCTTTAGGCGATAGTCCTTATATAACAACAAACGTATGGCCATGTTTGATGATGAAGTGACAGAGATATTTCAAAAAAGTACTTCTTCATTAAATATATGTCTTTTTTTATGACAAGTGGAGAGAAGGATATCTTTTTTATCCAAATTGTTTGTTGATACTAATTATTTGGGTCTTGTCTAGTTGTGATGTCCCTTGATAATTGGTCTAGATTATCCTATTGGGGATAAATTATTAGCTGAACATTTTTTACATGGAATAGAGAAATACGCATCATGATTACAATCATATGGTTATATTAATAGTCTTTTGAGTTTTTGGCAAAGACTCAATTTGCATTTGGATTTCTTAAGGAGATATTCAACGAAGTTCGGGTAAGCCAGTAGATACTAAAGTCATCAACAATGATAGTGGTGGCAACAATGTTGTCAATGGTGACCTATTTAAAAGGTTAAAGTTGAGTGCAAAAAAATCGTAGGAATTGCTCAACAAAATAAATTTGTTGATTTAGGCTATGTTGATCATTTTCATTACAAGTCTAATATTATTACAAAGGTAGGATTATTTAAAGATTATATGGATACAACACATGTTGATTAAAGAAGTTTAAGGTTTGCAATTTATTACTCTAAAAGTTATTGGAAGAGAAATAAGTTACAAATTGATGTTTCTTATGCAAAATTTAACAAGGAACCAATGCTAATATCTAAAATTGTTATTTGCCTAAAGCGAATAAAGAAAAAGAGTTGGAGAGTTTGATTGGATATTTAGGAGATGTATAAAAAAAAAAGAACGATTTAAACTCGAGAACAAATTCTTTCCAACTCGAGGAGCATGACACGGGACTTTTCACAATTTTTTTTTTTTAATTAGGAAGCTTTGCTATTTTTTATTTAATTGGGAAACTTTGTCTATTTCTTTCAATGTTATCGATGTTTTTTAACAATTTTTAACATCCGTTTAAAGATTTAAGATATTTTTAAATAAAATAGTTGTCTAATAACACGTGTACAATCATATTTAGTGATAATGTGACTAAATAATATAAAAAATCATATATATATAATTTGACAACTGAAGAGAAGAGTAATTTTTTTTTTTTTTGTTCAGATCGTTTGCCTATATTGATTGTTTCGGTTTTATTCGATTATGATGTCTCTTAACAACTAGCCAGAATTATCTTGTTCAGAACAAATTCTTAACAAGACAATCTTTAAGTAGAGTAGAGATATACATGTCACGGTCACGATTATAGAGGTATATAAGTGCTCAATCAAAAATCCTACATAATTTGAAGAGATGTTTACTTTTTATTCATCAATAATACTATCGGTAAAATACTATTACAGTTCTTTAAACCAAAAAAAAATAAAAAAAGGAAATCCTAAAGCTACAGAACATTCAAACAAAACGAAATTCTAAAATAATGACTGATTATCTAATAAACTACTGGCTTAATTATGGTTAGGATAAAATTCATGAAGAGGACCTCGCATCTGAGGTTTTCCGAAAAAAAAAACGAAGAAAGAAAGAAAGAAAAGAAAAGCTCCACCAGCGCGATGCGGGAATGGCATATATAACGGGACTATCATGCGGGATGTCAATCAGGTAGATGCAGCACGAGGAATGTTACCCTGCACTATCTCACTCTAACCAATATTTTTTAGTTATTTCCATCTTCTGAATATAATTGCCAACGAGGGTATCGAATAATTCATGGCGACCGCCTGACTCGTCCCTGAGTTGATAATCTTGCTCTACTCGCACGGTTTTGGAATGCAAAACAATTAACATCCACCCGATGCTTAGCTTGGAGCTTGAAAATAACCTCTCTAGTCATGCCAAAAATGTTCAGTCTTACACGTTGCCGAATATAATGAGTTAATGATTCATAGGTTCTCCGTATTATAAACAATTAATTAAAATGTTAATTAAGTTTTTGTATTTAATTAATTTGTTTAATGTGAGCATTTTATTAGTTATATTGTTGACTGGATTAAGTAAATTGTATAATCAAACAGAATGCCTCATTTGATTTCGTCGATCAAATAATTATTTTTTATTATAGAAAATATTTATTGA